ATAAATAACTTTAAAAAATCTGTATTTTTATATTTCAGTTACTTTTATAATAATAAACAAAGAATAAATATGAAAAACAAGAAATAAAGTACTTACCCAAATTTTTTATTTTTTGCTGTCAGTTGTCTAAGGGCAGTTAAGCCTAATTTTTTATAGTAATGATAGCAATGCACTTAATAATTTTTATTTAATTAAATAATGCATCAAAGAGTATAGACTAATAACATGCAAAAAGTAGACAAATTCCCTTACCTCTCAAACTTTTTCTGGCTTTCTAACTATTCGACAAGAGCTGTTACAAATTCATCCAAGCTAGTCGTTAACATTCCCACAGGAACAAAGCTTGTAGAGTGAAATTGATGCTTTCCTGTTCAGAAAACGTTATACAATACATCATTTGATAGATGAAAACCTTGACTTTCTATTGGTCATAGATAATATATAATGAAATATAAGAGAGAACTATTAACAAATTGTGAAAGAGAGGATGTAGCAGGAGGGGGTTTGATTTTCTATTTGATAGCTCTGTAACCAAACAAAATTGAAGACTATAAAAATTATGGTTTGTCTGAGCAATAAAGATTTTATAAAAAGTAATTTACATTTAATTTCTGACTTTTTCAAGGGGTAGTGGATAAAATGGGGATCTGTGGATCTTTCTGATTTTGTCTGTTGGGAGATTGAATGCTACTTGATCACCCTTTGTCCCCTGACTTTGCCTCAGCTTCTTCAGAGTCTGGTGACATTATTCAGCATGATGGCAATTTTTTCTCCTACCGAATTTGCCGTTCCTTCCCAGTTCCAGCCTGACAATTCACCTAGGCCTTCCACGGCGTTTACGGATTTTGTATCTCAGGTTTGTATTGTCTCTTTTACATATTTCTTATTCCCCTCAACTTCTTTGTTGCATGAAAATTCTTCTCAAACATTTTGGTATTTCCTCCTCCTCCTGATATTCGGGTTCCATGTGGATCACTTTCTCTCCCAGTTAGATGAAGGGATCCGTATGCCACGCCCCCTAGAGCCTCTGATCAGTATGCGGAATATCCATTTTTTTTATCACCAGTTGTTGGGTTACTTATTACCTCTTTGGGGGTGACTCCCGAATCTAATGTTAGTCTCACACATACCCAATATTCTCACCTTCGTCTTACTCTCACTACTCTTCTCTGGTATCTGTCTTCTATACATCTCCTCTCAGAGGCTCTCTATACAAATCCCGAGGGATTTTCTGCCAATACCCTTTACCTTTTCTCTTCCAATTTGGCCCATATTTCTTCCTTGGCTCTTTCATTACATACATGGTTTCTTGGTTGTTTGGACCTTATCAGTAAGGACTTCCATCTAGCTCATGTTAATTTACCCTCCACTTATATCAGGGATTTATGTCTTGCTCCTCCTTTTCTTTGACATTATGTGGGTAACATCGGCCTGACAACAGTCCACCCTTTCAACTTTTGTGGCCCGTTTGTCTCGACCAGAGCCTTCCATGCCACCTTTTCCCATCCTTCATCCTTCCATCCATTATCTGTTCCTTCAAATCTGAGTACTTCTTTTCGTCAAGGTCATCGCCAATGTATCGTCCATCGTTTACAGTATCAGTGACTACTCAGTGGGTTTGGGGCCTGTGGGAGCTTGTTTGTTGGATTTTCTTTCTTGCTAGTTCTCCTTTGTTGAGGATCAGTGGGTGACAAAGGTTCTTTCAGAGGGACTTGTTCTCACTTTTCTTTCCCTGCTTCCCATTTCTCCTCACCCAATTTCTTTTCCTCGTCCTCAAGATCCTGTGACTCGCCAGCATCAGTCAGAGGTGGTTCAGGATTTGCTTTCACAGTGGGCTATCAAATCAGTTCACCATCCCTTGGAGGGGTTTTAGTCCCATCTTTTTGTGGTCTCCAAGAAAACCGGGGATTGGCGATTGGTCATCGATTTGTTGCACCTCAACCAATTCATCTCACTCCCCAAGTTCACGATGGAGTCCTTTCTCACCCTGAGATGGGCATTTTCCCCAGGATTGTGGATGACAAAAATTGATGTTTTCAATGCCTATCTCCACATCCCAGTAGTCCTTCTTTCCCATATTTATCTTTGATTTGTTCATCTCTGGGTGATTTACCAATTTTGGGCTGACTTTGGACTTGCCTCAGCTCCATATGTGTTTTGCCATGTTGTTCAGGCCTTTTCCCATAATATTCATACTTTGGGGTTGCGGTTTCATCATTACATGGACGACTGGCTACTTCTAGCTAATTCCGAGCAGGAGTTGACCAATCACACTCACTAACTTCTTTCTGTGGCAGCTCGAGTGGGCTGGTGGTAAATTGGGGGGGTCAGTTCTTCAACCCAACCAATATTTAGTGTATTTGGAGGCCTTCTTCGACACCAACATCAGTCAAGCTCTTCCTTCTCCTTTATGCCTCAGTTCTATGGAACTTTTAATTCACCGTGCCTCTCAGCTTGGTCACTTACTGCTCGAGGGGTTCTATCGCTTTTGGGGATGTGGTCTTCCTGGACCGCATTGATCTGCCTCGATCATGCCCATACGAGATCCCTGCAGTGGATACTTCATGAACGATGGAACCTTGCACAGGATCCTCTTTCCACCACCATTTGCCTTCCTCCTTCCCTGAGAGTCAAATTGCTGTGGTGGCTCCCTACTTCTCCGGTGCGGACACCTTCTCCCAAACTCCGAAGTGAAGGTTCGGTAGAAGAGTGTAGAGGGAGTCACATGCATCATGTGAGCATACTATGCTACTATTGGTTAATAGATGATGCATGATGACTTGCATGAGAAACATGTTGGAATATACTAATTCCAAAAAAGGGTGAACGCAAGGCTTGTGCCATGTGTAAAGAAAATGTTCGCACACAGAGAGCAGCACTAAAGAAGAATAGCTAATCTTGTAAGAGGAGGGAAGTACCTATTGGAAATACATTTTCACTATTGGAAAATTATAACTTTGAAAAAAATATAACCTAAATCATTCCTTAATAACAACTGTTTCGTGTATGTGGATTGCATAACAGAAGATCAAAATCCACCATTGCAAAGTTTGCTACACAAATCTAGAATAGAGATGCAAGGTCAAAACTGTATTAAGGAGGTCATTGCACAT